AAAACTCCTAAAACAAAACGACATTTTTATCACTGAAATTGATAACACAACATCAACCCTCTTGCCATCAAAAACCCAACTCACCGCGTTTCCAGCAGGAACTGCCTTCAGCTGGATTTTGGTCGCCAACGTGTGTGCAGCATAATGCTCCGCTTGAATGGGCGTGCCAGAGGGATTCGACAGCAGCAGACGTATCTACTCAATACAACCTCCAATAGAGTTAGCAGTAGACCTACTGTTTCCAAAGCCCGAGGGTGATGTTGAAACTCTTCCAATGCTGCGGTGACACTCTTGGCAGCTTCTGGTGACGTATGGAGCAGATTTACCTACCACAACACCAGCACAGTCATCCTCACTGGGAGCCTGTATTTGTAATCCCCCTAGATCAAAATCGAGTGATGGCCTTTATGACTACTACCTGCTGAACTATGGCTTCTCCAAGTTGCCTAGGATCGTTAGGAACCGTCATATTACTCGTGTAGCTCGGAAAGGCCGTTATCCTTCTATGATTTACTAAAGGAGTGGTATGAAGAAAGGAAGGAGAATTACAACAATGCGTCGCCAAACAACGTACAGACCTGACATAAAACCATCAACACTCATACCACTCTCCCGCCAAATCCTCCCAATAGGAACAACCCAATACCACATCAACAGGAAGCCCTCAGGGTATCAACCCCAATAATACAACACAGCTCAGCCTATCGGGAGAAACGTAGGAGTTCTATATTGTGATTTTACGTTGAATGACGTTGTAAACTCTTCCAATACAGGAAGCAACCAATACTAAGTTACATTCCCTTTCCCTTCTTCTTCTGCGGTAGCTTCTTAGCACGTCGCTTAGCACCCGCCTTCTTAAGCCCTAATAGGCGACCAACGTCTTCCATCACAACAGCAGTCCCGAACTTACGTTTATCCGCTCTCTTCTGTGCTCGCTTGTCGTTCTTCAGCCTCTTATCGACCATCTTCACCTTAGCGCCTCTACTGGCTCCCTTAGAGATCACCTTAGAGCCTGTAAAGACACACCCTAGTCACTGTCACCAGACCAAGACTCGGCGCCTTACCTCCTTTTCCTTGTACTGCTGCATATGCGACTTCCTTTTTATCATTGCCTGATACCACTCCATCC